ACCTTTGAGTATCAAGTGAACCCTTCACGCTCTAGTAGTAAGAATCCTCCTTCAAATACTCTCTCACACTCTCTCCTTCAATCTCCCTTCAATTTGCACGAAGTCCAGCGGACAAAAAGATTACAAGACAATTTTATTTGGACCTTTTATATGAAAGACACGAAAAACCATCCAAAATTTACAAAAATTCTATTATGTACGTACTCGATCATCCCGTACGATCATAATTTGTACGTACGAACAGTGTAAAAACTGTTACGTACGTGCCCAATGTGCATTGGTACGAAATGACTTCGTACCCAATCATCGTCCCGTACGAACTAAGTTCGTTCAGTACGAACAGTTATTTCCAGGCTTCATCAAGAAATAACTATAGGATGGTCCTCAAGGTTAAGGAACAGAGGACATCGTCTTGGGACGAATATAGAAGTTTGTCTGGATGAACAGTTCAAGCCACGAGCCTAGAAAACATCGTCCTGGGACGAATGGGATATTCGTCTAGACGAATAGTTCAAGTCACGAGTCCAGAAAACTTTGTCCTAGGACGAACAAGACATTTTGTTTGGATGAATAGTTTAAAGTGAGAATCCAGAGTACATCATCCCGTGACGAATGGGTAAATTAGTTTGGATGATCAGGACTTAGAAAAATTTTCTCCCTTTTTGTTCGTTCCATTGCTCTCCGAGGGGTAAACTGACCTGATCGTCCCGTACGAACAAGGTTCGTCCCATACGACCAGTATAAGAAAATTTTGATTTTTAAAGATCTTCCCCAGTGTGTGTGTGTGTGTGTGTGTGTGTGTGTGCTTGGTTATTCAATTAAAATTACATTCTCTTAGACTCAATAAAGTGAAAAATACAGACTTTAATTTACAAACTATCTTATGTTGAATTTGATTTGAAGTCTTCATTAGTCTGGAGTACGATTATTCTAAAATGTTAGTCCATACAAGAGCAAAAATAATTCTTCTAAAACATATTAGGAGAAAATAATAATTAGAACAATAATATTTGGAATCATCAAAACTATACAAGTTGCAAGAATATAAATCATGCAAAAGCTAAGTAGAAACTCTCTTAACATAAATTAATGTTGGTCGAGCCCGATCCTTCTATATGGATAGATGGCTCAAATCATTAAACATATATATGACCAGGGTGTCAACAGAAAATTTATTTTATATGTTCATATAAGGCCTTCAAGGCCTCCAACAAAAAAAATTCATTAACAAAACCACAATGCCTATAAAACCCGATCCTCTGTCGACAGCTCGATAGAGTCGAATATGTTCAATCCATAAATGGAAATGACACCAAACACCCAATGATGGCCGCGTTGAATATAGATCTCAATCAGAGGGGTTAGTTCTAAAAATTTCAAAATGGCATCTCAAATACCCGAAAATTCAAAAATCTCGAGATTATACAAATAAAAAATGTTTAGAATTAAAATTACTCATCATCACTTAAAGTAAAATCCATCCACCTTCTGCAACAGTTTGTTGGGTTGTAAAAATTAACTTTTACTTCAGCTCATATAGAGCTAATGCCTAATAAAAAATATCATTAGGATCCATTCTCAAATAATGTCTTGCTAGTAAGGACGTGGTATGTGTCCTCTGACTGGAAGTTTCATCACTAAATGGCATTGCAGGATTAACAGTTATGACCCGGGGTCCTATGAACTGAGTGGTTTTGACGTGAAATGACACTACTAAATTACGGTTATGGCCAGAGTCAATACGTTCCTTAATAGCATCAAATCCTTGATATATGAATTAATAAGATATAATTGATAGGGCACAAAGCTCTATGTTAGCTAAGATGGATTCAAATTTATCCCCTTAGACAAATATTCATCGCAGGTCTATAAGGTACCCTTGGACAAAGCAACCCATGGCTGTCGACAAAGATCCTTTTGTCAGGTTGGGTCGAATACCTCCTCTGACTATGTAGATCAGGGACCACGATGGCCCGGGATAACAGAACCATAGGATCTAAATCAATTTCATCATCACTCCCCCACCACCCGCTTTAAGTGAAAGATGGTGAAATATTAAATTGTAAATATCAAATTCTCTAAATTTCAAATGCGCATGATGCTACTATATACAAGATAACATGTATTATTTACGTATCTGATTGATGACTAGACTTAATCGAATGTTCTCTCTCATTTTTGGGAGGGATAATTAACTATAGGGGCCTGCGCCTATAGGAAACTAGAATTCATATCATAAAGCCTCATAAAATGAGGACGAAATATCTGGGTAATGTCTTATCTGCAAACCCATTTGCCTTCTCAAAATTTATTCTGGACTTAATATGTTAAAACTCCCCTGAGAAAATAACGGGGGAGGCTGGGGCTGAATTTTTAGAGCCCACATTGTGCTTGTTGGGATCTATGATTTACATGTAGTTCCTTGATTCCATTATATTTATGGAGGCAAAAAAAAAAAAAGGGAGAGAGAAGATAATAAATGAATTTATGCTTGCAATAAGTGTTTTTCATTTATCTTTCACTTCTCGTCTCAGCATCTATGGCCTGAGTTTTTTATTGCTTTTCTCTTCACAAAGATAAAATTAAATAATGAATAAAATATTAAGACTTGTTTGAAGGATATTGATGAATGATTAAATATTTTGTCAGTATCATCTTTTTCACTGATTAATTATAACGTTGATTTATCTTCTTGTCCTCGTCACCTTCATTAATAGATCTATAAATAGAGGTTGAAGTGTTCGAATCTAAATGTTATTCATCTTCTTCTTCCTTTCTTCACTATTAGAGCTCTGTAACTAATTTATACAAGATGATGAACATTCCCAAATATAAAATAGGAATAGCTAAAGAAGAAGTGCTAGTTAGTATCTTAATGGGACGTTGGAAAGAAAAGTTTGAGGCGGTGGAGTCGAATAGGATGAAAAGCCTATTTGATTCAACTGAGATTGATGACTTCGTGTAAGGCTCGCTTGAGCAGTCCACCACCTAAAGAAAATTAAGGCATATTTTTTAGTTAATGGGCGTTTTTCCCGCAACAGAGAAATTTGTCTGTTCTGGTAAACTTTTAATTTAAATTAATTGGGTAAAAATGAGTAAACGCATTTTAAATTTTTTGTTGAAGGCGTCCCTGACTACTCTAAGGGATCATACAGTTGAACAATAAAAAAAAAATTTCATGAGGTTATCTTAGAAATATTGTAATATATTATTCAATGAGCAAGCTTTTTAGATGAAAACCTTGCTCTTCTCTTGATCAAGAGATACTAGAGATGTCATCAAGTACTCCAGAGAAAACAAATAAGGTCGCTACAGAGGTGCCGTCAAGTAATCAATTAATTTTGAAGAATATCACTATGTTGGCCGTGGTTAAGGGAAAGACGCCATCATCAAACTTTCACAGTTGCTTGCTCTTAGGTTGTTCTTTTGAGTTTTTTGGAAGTGAGCGAAGGACTGACTTTGAGTTGCTGTTGATATAATCTGTATTTGAAGTTATTTTACTTGCCCAATAATAAAGTTTTATTTGTGATAAGTTGTTTCTTGATATTGTCATTTCCCTTTGCTTACAAGTACTCTTTTATATTAGAATCTCATTCAATCTTCTTCTTCTTCTCATCTTCTTTCTCTTTTACGGTCATCACAATTACCTTGATGAAGAACTACAAGCTTTTTTCAAAGATTCGAGTTCACCGAGTCTTCAATGGTGTCGCTACTAAGAGCCAATTTTTGTCAACTTATGGACATATTCAAAGATCTTCACTACCAAGTTCATCAGCTAAAGAAGGGCAAGTTCCCCAACACCTTAAACGACTAGTTATGCTACTATTAAGAAATTTTTTATTAAGACTAGAGTTTCCCCTCTGCTTTGGAGCTGGTTGTGACCCCATCTCAGATTCTGCTAAATTCCTTCGTGAGCATCTTTTCGTTAATTTGTTACATGTGGATGAATAAGATTCAATGGAGAATTACATTCTTTCATCATTATTTCTTATTCAAAAGATTTCAAGGATGGTTGTGTTTTGTTCCCATCAAACTATGTGAGATTTGTTGGGTTAGAGAATAATATAGTATTGAAAGAATAAGTACTGCTTTGTGAGGACATATCAAGACTACCAATTAAGATAAAATCGGATTCTTTTACCAAGGAGAAACTTCTTGCCTGAATAAAGTGAGGTTGAGCACACCAACTTTTTGAAGATGAAGAAAATTAGCTTGACCTGTTGATCTTCATGTCATCAATAAGTTCCTTGCTTGTATTCCTCTCTATTTAATTATTCTTTGCTTGTGTTCCTGGCTGCATGTATATAAAAGTTTTAGTTTTATGCACATGAAATTATATATTATTTTTCAGTATTACTGAGCTGAGTTTGCTCTCAAGCTATTGAGCATGGATCATTTTATAAGTAATTGATTTAGTCAGATACGTGATATCAGAATAGCAAAATAGATTAATTTTATGAATGGCCAAGCAACTTCTAAATGTAACAAGCTAACTCCTTCACTAGATCATATTGTTTTTGTTGCAGATTCATGTAGAGGCTGCTGTTCAATCTGTCTATAGACAGGCTCTAAAACCAAGCAGTCTCACATGTTCAAAAAATTGTGAATGGAATTGCTTCACTTGATAAAAAAAATGAACGTCTATAGATTATTAAAGTGTTTGGTACTTGAGCTCATGTCTAAAAAATGTTAATGGAGTTTCCAAAAAAAACCAGCACTTCTAAAATGTTACTTGTTCTCACTGAACAACCTGCAAGTCAGAGCTGCAGAGAAGAAGAAAGAAAAGTATGCGCAGAAAGATCAATTCATCTTCGTGAATAGCAAAGGGTTACACTGTTTGTATATATAACAGTAAATGTAATCATGTATGATGGCAGTGGCCGTTAGTAGCAGACGGATTGGCAGAAGTAAGTGGTGAGAGTCCTTGTTGAGGTAGATGGAACCATATAAGAAGTTGTTGTTGCCGGTTTATATTAAGTACTCTAACATCCCCCCTCAAATTAAGCATTGATAAGTTTGATGCTTAATTTGTCACGAAGATCCTGGAACCTTGATGAAGGCAACGGTTTGATAAGAAGGTCGGCTGGTTGTTCCTCGGAGTAAATATGATGAAGGACAATCTCACCATTGGTAATGTGATGACGGATGAAATGATAGTCAATTTCAATATGTTTGGTCCTTGCATGGAAGACCGGATGATGAGCAATTGCCATTGCCGAGGTGTTGTTGCAGTAGAGAGGAGTAGGTGTTGTGGGAGGTAATTGAAAATCTGCTAGAAGACGCTGTATCCAAATAACATCTGAAGTGGCCGATGAGAGAGACCTATATTCAGCTTTTGTGGATGTTTTTGTGACAGTGGCTTGTTTCTTGACACACCAGGAGATGGGAGTCGTTCCTAGGAATGTGCAAAAGCCTGTTGTAGATTTGCGGTCGTGGGGGTCGCCGGCCCAGTCGGCGTCGGAGTAAGTACGAAGCTGAAGAGGGGTTGTAGTTAACGGTAGGCCGAAATGAATTGTACCTTGAATATAGCGTAGAAAGCACTTTAAAATGGTGGGATGGTGCATGTGTTGGCAGACTTGATTGGCTACATAAGCTATGTCCGGCCTGGTAATAGTAAGATAGTTGAGAGAGTCCGCAAGCCACCTGTAGTAATGAGGATCGGGATAAGGTAGATTGGCATCTGAACTTGTGGAGGCCTTTAAAGTCATAGGCGTAATGACTGGCTTGCTGTGCTGGAGATTGTCCGCTTGAACCCGAAAGAGCGTAGAACTGTAATAAACTTGTTGTACCACTCACGGGGTGCTTGTTTGAGGCCATGAATGGACTTGTGTAGTTTGCAAATCGGGTTTGAATGCTCACGGTCTACGAACCCGGGTGGTTGCTGCATATAGACTTCATCATGGAGTTCACCGTACAAAAAGGCATTAGATATGTCAAATTGGAGTGTCTGTCTGCCTCGATATTGTGCTATTATAAGCATGATATGAATGGTGGGCATTTGGCAACAGGACTGAAGGTCTCGTTATAGTTAACTCCAAGTTCCTGTTTCAAACCTTGGGCTACTAGTCTGGCCTTGTAGCATTCTACCTGACCATTTGGATGATATTTGGTTTTGAAGGTCCATCTACATCCAAGAACTTTGCAGTTAGGAGGAGGTGAACCATTGACCAGGTACCTTTTTTTTTAAGGGCAAGAAATTCTTCAGACATGGCAGCTCTCCAGTGGAGTATTTGAATTGCTTGATGATGTGTGGTGGGAGTAGAGTCATTTTTTAAGGAGGTTAGAAGACTAAAGATGGGTTTGGGATGGTGAATGCCGGATTTAAGCCGTGTCTGCATGGGGTGATTTGAAGTCTTAACGGGTGGGTTATGTGAAGTAGAAATTTCATGAGAAGGTGTAGAAGTCGTTGAAGCCATGGGAGCAGATGTATGGAAATTGTCTGGATAGGAAGTGGAGGAGGAGTGTGAGGTATCAGGAATGTTAGATGTTGTAGAAGGTGGCTGTGTTTGTGGTAGAGTTGAAGTGGGAAGGAGTAGGTAGGGAAAGGTATTAGTAGGTTCTGTAGATGGAATGGAAGTGTGGGAGCTAAGAGTTTGGTAGGGAAAAATTTGTTCGTAGAAAACGACGTGTCGAGAGATGTGGACTTTTTTGGTAATTGGGTTGAAGCATATATACCCTTTATGTGCCGTAGAGTAGCCGATGAAGACACACTCTTGAGAGCGAGGATGAAGTTTGGGGGATGTGGTTGGTTTTAGCCACGGGAAACAGAGACATCCAAAGGTTCGAAGATGAGTGTATGTGGGATGTCGTTTGTGAAGAAGATAGTAAGGTGAGTGATTTGCACAGATTTTGGTTGGGAGCCAATTAATAAGATAATGTGAAGTTAAGAGAGCTTTGGCCGATAGGTTGTGCGGAAGATGGGCTTCATGAAGAAGGGTTCTAGTAGTATTCAAGAGATGGCGGTGTTTCCTTTCGGCAACACCATTTTGTTCTGGAGTATAGGGACAGCTGAATTTGTGAGTTATACCGTGTTCAGCTAGATATGCACGAAAGGCATGGCTTGTGTATTCACCTCCTCCATCTGAGCGGAGAGTTATTATATTGGAGTTGAAAGTGTTAGTGATAAATTTATGTATCTGTTGAAATTTTGACAAGGTTTCATCCTTTGTGTGCATTAGAAAGAGCCAGCAGAAGCGAGAGTGATTGTCAATAAATAAGACATAATAACGAAAGCCGTTGAGAGAAGGTACAGGTGCAAGACCCCAAACATCCGTGTGTATTAACATAAACGGTTTAAGTAAATGAGTTGAAGAAGAGGGAAAGGATAACTTATTACTTTTAGCCACATTACATGATTTGCAAACAAAAGAAGACAAAGAAGTACATATAGATGAGATATTCTTAGATAAGAGTTGCTGAGTTCTGGCGTTGGGATGGCCTAGGAGAGAATGCCAATTGTTGGTAGATGAGGTAGTTGTGTGGAGAGCTTGAGGTTGGAGAACTGTGTAGAGTCCGTTACGGAAACGTCCACGGATGAGGATTCGGTTGTCCAGAAGATCCTTGATTAAGAAACTGTGTGAGTCAAAAGAAATGGAGCAATTATTGTCAGCTATTAGTTTGTGAATAGAAGAAGATTATGTGATACTAGAGGAACGTGAAGTAGATTTCAAAAATATAGCTTACGATTAGAGTCGGGAAGTGGAAGAAGGCCTTGTCCGGTATTGTGGATAGGGAGAGAGCTGCCATTGGCTATTGAAACTGTTTCAGAGCCCATGTATGGAGTTAATTGCTACAGATTGGATGCATCCGGTGTGAGATGCGTGGAAGCCCCTGAATCGAGTACCCATTCATTGATTGAAGTTGGTTGCTGGGTAGCCTGCAGGGCTCTTGGTGTAGAAGTCGCGGGATTGGTATAGGCAGAATTGTAACGATGCCAGCAAACAGAGGCATTACACCCTGTTTTCCCGCATATTTGGCAAATCGGCTTGCCTGACTCGGTGTAGACATTGCGAATGGGAGTGGAGTTTGGCTTGAATGGAGCTCCACGGCCTTGACCTCCCCTGTAGCTGGTGCGTCCTTAAGGCGTGTTCACACGATTTGTATAGAATGTTGTAGTATCAGCTATCGGAGTAACGTCGCATTGGACGTCTGAGTGAATATGTATTTCCTTACTGCAGAGGAGCAAATACATCACATCTAGGCTTATAGGAAGTTGGCTGGTTTGAATAGATGTCTTGAAGGAGTTGTAGGAGGGAGGAAGTCCATTCAATATGTGAAGAATGATTTCTTCAGGGTCAAGCAGAGAATCTGAGGCAGCAATGTTGTCAACCAGTGCCTTTATCTTGGCCAAGTACTGCATCATTGTGAGATATCTCATTTGTATATGATACAGCTCGTTCTTCAGTTGTATTACACGGGACCTGTTGGTCGGTTGGAGACACAGCTTAAGTGTGTTCCATATGTCTCTAGCAGATGGTAGTGTTAATATGTTGGGTAGATTGGAAGGTGAGATAGTAGACAGGAGAGCCGATATGAGGTTTTGATCTACTAGATTCCATTGCCGAAGTTTGCTGGGACTATCTTCGGCAGAAGGTTTCGGGGAGCTCCCTGTAAGGTGACCGTCGAAGCCATGTGCCGAGAACAACTGGAAGATCTGAGGCCTCCAAATGAGATAGTTGTCACTGGTGAGCTGATTGGAGATGATGAGTTTGAGATTTGTCATCAGAAACTTAAGAGGAGCTGGGATAGTTAGGTATTCCTTTGCAGAGGTTTGAGCGGTAGTTGGAAGAGTCGAGCCCGATTGAGCTACAGTAGAACAGCTTTGATCCACCATGGCCGGAAGAGAAGAGGGATTGAGCGCTATGGCTCTGATACCATGAACAACCTGCAAGTTAGAGCTGCAGAGAAGAAGAAAGAAAAGTATGCGCAGAAAGATCAATTCATTTTTGTGAATAGCAAAGGGTTACCCTATTTGTACATATAACAGTAAATGTAATCATGTATGATGGTAGTGGCCGTTAGTACATATGGCTTGGCAGAAGTAAGTAGTGAGAGTCCTTGTTGAGGTATACAGAACCATATAAGAAGTTATTGTTGTCGGTTTATATTAAGTACTCTAACACTCATTACATTTTACAAATAATAAAACTTAGTAAAGGATTACTGGAATTACCTAATCCAATTTTGTCACCAATTACAAGATCTTCCCATGGAATTTCCCATTCAGCTTCATCAAGCATTGGATCAATCCTGTTTGATCTGGATGGAGGCAAAGATATTGATGGATCTTTATCCTGCAATCCCTTATCACTCCCAATAAATCTATCATATGCACTAGGTGCTACTGAAGCAAAAGTCGAAGAAATAATTATTTTCTAAAATATTATTAATCATTGCCAAAACATTGAAAGTATTATTTTTAGAATACCATAAAGGCTAAAAAAACGACATATTGCAGCAGCACGCATTATATTCTTCTAGTTTTTTGAAAGGTTATGAACTATGACATATTGAAGACTTTGAAGGGTAAAACAAATACCAAATACATACTAATACGGTATGAAATTATTATATAATTAAAAAATTCAATAGCCCAAACAAAAATTGAAGATTGAAAACACCCCTTCAATTAAAAAGATTCTAATAAACTTTCCAACACAAAAATAATCATCATTTTTTTATCCATAAAATAGCAAATCTTCAAATAAACAACATAGGAAAAAATCCATAATTAATGGTCTCTGATGAAACAGAGTATTAACTGATAATTATTAATTAGAAAGTCATTTGCTTTTTCAATAAACCAGCTAAAGAAAACTTCCCAAGAAAACAGAGTAATAACTGATAATTATCAATCACTGAGCATGAGATATCAGAACATTAATGAAAATTTACAATTAAAAAACAAAAGATAAAATAATATCCATTGTTCTTAGGGGCTGTTTGGCAACAAGTGGGATTTAACTTTAGTGGGATTTAGTAAATCCTGTAAATCCGGATTTAGTAAATCTGAAATGTGTTAAATCCTGAAAACCGTTTGGGATGCCAAATGTTAAATCCTGAGAAACTATTTGGTAACATATTTCAGGATTTATAGCAGTTATGAATTTAAATATGAAGAAGATAATTATAACTTAAAAATAATTTATAATTTAAAATATATATGTGTTATAAATTTATTAAATATATTAATTAATCTAATTATATTAATATTTAATTACTAATTATACAATTAAGTTAAATTAGATAATTAATTTATGCACTAATAAACATTTAATTATTTAATTAATTATTAAAAATTTAAATTATATTAATTAAGTTAATCAATAATAACTTTTAGAGGCGTCTATGGTTTTCATTTCATCTTCTCTTTCATCGTTGTTGTTCGGCTTCGTTGCTTTGCAGGTGTATAGATTGCATGCGTCGCTTCTGCGGCTCCTTCGTGGCTGTTCGACTTCGCTCCTGCGGCGACTTTCTCGTCAACCCGGATCAGAAGTTACGACATTTTGATCGGAAGCAAGAACGGGAGCTTGCTGGCTGTGAAGGTAACTTTCTCCCTTTCGCGCGCTTCTTCTTGTAAACCACGCTTGGATTTACTAAATCCAGCTACCCCTCAGATTTACTAAATCCCAGATTTAAGCCGTAAAACCGTAAATCCGAGATTTACCGAATCTCAGGATTTAACACGCTCACAAAAATTGTTTGGCTGGATTTAGCGTAAATCTGACTTAAATCCCGCTGTAAATCCGATACCAAACAGCCCCTTAGTTATAATTACGACAAAGTAACACGAAACAGTTTTTAGTGATAACAATTTAATAGATATGTCAATCTTCAACAACTTAAATCAGTTTCCTAGCTTTTTACGCATCCATCAATTGAGGTTGCAATTCAAATACAATAAATTAAAAATAAATTAGCAAAGATTAAAAGATAGCATATGCCTCGCTTCATTCAATAATCTATCAATAAAGTACAAATTCCAATTCATAAAACAACAAAAATAAGACTTGATATAGATTTATTCAACTCTAGTTATATTGGTAACATTTTAAGCAATTTTAGAAAATAAGGAAATTGATAGAGTCAAAACCACATTGACAAATCTGTTGATTGCAAAAGGATATTAATCTACATTGCTATGATTCAATATACACTCATGCAAAAACAAACAAAAATTTCCATATAAAATTTTATAAACTTGAAAAAATGTTGGCATGCCTACAAATCTCTTCTCTAACTTGTGAAGATAATTTATCGATAGTGTTGACAGGATAACAATTACTGTATTTTTATGCAACCCTGGAGACATGGAAAAAAGATTAGTAATCAAATATAAGAAAAGAAATAAAATATAAAGAGAAAATAACTCACAGACCTTTCACTGCACCATCCTTTCTGAAAAACAGATCATCAACTTCTTTGGAAATGGACACAAACACTGTTAATGCATCTGTTGCAAATGAAAAAGTCCAAGGAGAAATAAATATTAAAAAGAATCATCCTATATATGTATATTCTTTTTCAAGAGTAAAGAGAATAGCAATAAACTTCTATCAACAATGAAACATATAGCCCATTAAATTTAGAAAGAACATCAAAGTTAAACTCTTTCCACAATAAAAAAGCTAAGATAACAGATGAATTTAAATAACACAAATTCAACTTCATCCAAGGTTTAAAAGTGTGTAATCAGGTATTGAGGCATTTTTCATTAATGAGGAGAGGCATAAGCCTCATGGCGTTTTGAGGCGTAAGCCTCAAAATCAAAAAATTGCGTAAACATAAAATGATAAATTTTGTATATAATAATAAGTAAATAATATATAAAATATAAAAAATGCTACTTACCACATCTTTGAGGATAAAAAGCAATGACATATCTCATAAGAACTCATAAGTCATTAACACTGTCACCAGTCATCACTAAGGGGGTCTTCATTTGAATCATCATTATGATGAACTGCTCTCTTCTCTTCCTCCTCTCCTATAGAGTCCAATATCTCCCAATCAGCTCCTTTCTCATTATCAGTTATCTTCCTCTTTCATAAATATTTTTGAGCAATATCATAATGAATAATAGTGTAATATATTAATAAAAGTCTAAGAAAAGAAAACTATATTATTTATATACCTCTTTTGATTTGTTCTTGAGTTGTGGTGGATGTAGATGTTTTAAGACCATCAAAGAAATCAACATTTAAATCTTCATCTTGTAATTCAGACGGCATCACTTCAATTTCATCATCTACAAATCACTCATCATATGCCACATCCTCGCAAAGCAAAAGATCTTCATCTTCCATTAATCCTTTTTTTTTCAAATTCCTATCTCTGAGTCTCCTATTATACATAATGTACACCAATGAATTCATCCTCAACGTCGACAAGCGATTTCTCCTCTTTACATGTACTTGGTTGTAGGTACTCCAATTTCTTTCATAGCCAAATGAAGAGCATGTCAAGCCCAAAACTATTACAACAAAACGCTGCAATTCTGAAGTTACATCACCAAATTGAATCCACCACTCAACTAATATTTATATAAGAGAGTTTAATTAGTGCAAAAAAATAACTTTTAAATAAATGTTTAAACATTAAATAAAATCACTTGGAGATCATTTGATAATTGTATCCTTTGCTTGTTGTAATTCAAAAAAAGCCTTCTTTGTTCCTAAAAGGTACCAATTACATGTCAGCATGTGATCTTTCAGTTGCATCATTTATTAGACGATTCATGCATTGATACAATTCCAACTTTATTTCAGGGTTTGTATACTTATTCTCTGCATATTGATACTGAGGGTTTAGGTAATAGCTAGCTGCATGCAAGTGTCGGTGAAGTTGTAGCTCCCACCTATCATCAATAATATTCTAAATTTTCCTAAAGCTTCGCTCATTGCCTCCTAAGTTGGAGGCAATCATCTCTTTGGCTTCATCCATGGCATTGTCGATGAAACCCATTGCAGGCTTCTTCTCAGCATCCACCATCGTTAAAATATGAACTAAAGATATAGTAGTTGTAATGACATATAAGACACTTTGTCAAAATCTATCATTTAAAATAATATTTCTAATCACTTTTCCCTCAATCTTCTTCACCCAAGCACAACTCAACTATTATGTAGATGTGAACATAGCCTTTAAAGGTTGTCTAGCATCCAGCATGCTCTCTAAGGTCATGTAAATAGTGGCAAATCTTGTTGCGGCTGGCGTTAGAATTTTTTCTTTGAAAATTTCCTCATAAAAGATAGAACCCAAGAGTAGTTGTAAATAAACTTGATTATTTTTTTTTTGCTTTAGTATGTGCATTTTTATGTTGAGGTAGCTCCCCTAGATTCTCAAGAATCAGATCTATGTAATGTGTAGCACATGGAGTCCAGTACAGATGTTTCCTCTTTTCCATAAGTTTTTTTACCTACAGCCTTATAAGAACTTACATTATCTATCACAACTTGTACAACCAAATATTCTCCAACCTCATCAACAATGTTATCTAATAATCTAAATATAAACTCAGCATCTTTGACCTGGTCAGATGCTTTAATTGACCTCAAAAACATAGTACCATAAGGATTATTAATGAGGATGTTGATCAGACTTCTATGTTTGATATCAGACCACCCATCTGACATAATTGTTACTCCTATTTGGGCCTAAATTCTCTTAATTTCTTCAATGCTTTTATCAGTGTTTTTTAACTCCTTCAAAATTCATATTCTTAAATCATACATGGTTAGAGGTTTGAACCCTCTCACAAATGCTCCAACTGAACGAATCATGTTGTAATAAGCAGGTGATATTGTAACATTAAATGGAATTGTATTTTTATAGAAGAATCTACCTATATCCTTACACACTCTTCTTCGTGCCTCCCTTGCATCTTCTGGGACCATCTTCTGTGTAATAAGAGTAAGCAATGAAATGTTAATAAAGGCTCATAAAATTTCAACTAACCCTCCCAAGTTCTAATCATATCTGCCACTCGTTAGTCCACAGCTAACAAAAATTATTACTCATTATAATTCAATATGTAAAACCTATTCTTCATCTTTTCAATTTATGCATATATTCTGCATATGATATGTGTATTTACTGCGTATTATATGCGTAAATGATACGTACTATCTACGTATGATCTATATATATATTTTTTAAAATAAAAATCATTGAAAAAAAATCTTTTTTCTTTAAACAATAAAGAATGTCTATGTACAAAATAAAAAATAAGGATCAAATTAAAAAAAATTATAATAAATACAATTTACAAGAGAATTTATGTACATTATATTAAAAAAATTCAACCAAAAGAATTTTAGATGTAGGGTCGTAGGGGTCATAGTGCCTTGCTTTGATGTTTAGACAAAATTATGCAAATAGAAGTAATGCAGTATTTGACAAAATAAAAAAATTTTTAAACCCTTTTTACTTCAGAAATAAGTCTAAAAAATCTTACCTTATGTCCAGGCTGCATTACTTCTATTTGTATAATTATGAGTTACCCTAAGCCAAATGTTCCTGCATTATATAGTGAAAATTTAAATATTGAACAATAATAAGCAATAAAATGTTAATAAATGCTCAAAAAAATTTAACCAACCCTCCCAACCATATCTTCCACCCATTAGTCTATAGCTAACAAAAAGTATTACTTATGTCACGACCCATCAGTCCTTACAAAGTTATCTACTAAATCATTTAATAGTAATTTATAAATATGGATAACTATGCAATTATGCGTATATTCTGCATATTTTATGCGTATTTTGTGCGTATATTATGCATATTCTTAAAAATTATTTATAAATTTATTTTTTTCCTTTAAATAAAAAAATATATCTAACTCTAAACCTTAAACGCAAATACCAAATACTAAAATCCTTTTAAACATCATATTTCTTATTCCTCATCCTTAAATGATAAATTAAGATCTCTAAACCCTTTGTATTTGTTCAAATACATTCAAGACTACAAAATAAAATTATAATAATCACATTGAGTCAAAAGTGTAATAATAAATTTAATTTCAATATGTAAAACATATTCCTCATCATTTTAATTTAAATAACCTAAAAATATAAATCTATCTACTTAATTAAATCATATAATAGCAATTTTATAAATATAGATAACTACGTAATGTATGCGTATATTCTACGTATTTTATGTGTATTTTATGCGTATGTTATACATACTCTTAAAAAATATTAAAAATTATTTATTAAATTATTTTTTCCTTTAAATAAAAAAAAATATCTAACTCTAAACCTTAAACGCAAATACCAAATTCTAAAATCCTTTTAAACATCATATTCATTATTCTTGATCCTTAAATACTATCCACCAAGATCTCTAATTAATCATTTGTACTTGTTCAAATACATTTAAGACTATAAAATGAAATCATAAAAATCACATTGAGTCTAAAGTGTAATAACAAATTTAATTTCAATGTGTAAATCATATTCCTCATCATTTTAATTTAAATAATCTAAAAATATAGATCTATCTACTTAATTAAATCATCTAATAACAATTTTATAAATATAGATAATTGCATAATGTATGCGTATATTCTACGTATTTTATGCGTATTTTGTACGTATGTTATGCGTATTCTTAAAAAACATAAAAAATCATTTATAAATTTTTTTTTCTTTAAACAAAAAAGAATGTCTAACTCTAAATCTTAAATGCAAATCCTAAATATTAAAATTCTTTTAAACAATATGTTATGCGTACTCTATGCATATGATATGCTTATGATCTGTGTATGATATGCATACTTTCTGCGTACGATCTGCGTGATTTATACGTATGATCATTAAATAAGTTCTTTTTTCATCAAATTATTGTAAATAACATTTAGACATAAATAAACTATATATGTGAAAAACTAGAAGAAAAAAATATATTCTTCAAAATTTAGAAATAAATAATTTACAAATAATCTGAAAATAGAAAAAACTATTATTTTTTCAATGATTTATAATAAATTTCATATGCAAATTCCGCCCTATACTTTGACATGTCTTCTTGCCAACTTGTACAATCAGTCCAATCAATGTTGCCTTCAAAACTTATCATTTTCATATATTTACAAACATACATTCCACAATCTATAGAGTTGGTCTATTTTGGCACACCATTAATGATACAAACCTTCTATTTTCTGATATTACTATCAAAAGATCATTTCATGTCAGAATATAGGGTTTTAATATGAAAAATACATAGAACAAGGACTAATTCTGTAAATTTTAAAAAAATTAAAGAGTTCATCAGTTTTATGATTTTATCAAACACTTACGATTTTTAGAACAACAAGCCTATGCTCTTTGATGCGCTGGGGCAACGAGTCATAAAATTTTCATCTTTATTCTTTCAGCAAACCAACCAGAAGGATCCAGTGCAAGGATTTAATGATTGGCTGTAATAAAATATTATTTGAAGTAACAGAAAATTTCGTTATATGGTCGATTTGAATTCTGGACAATTTTTCCCTTCCTTTGTTATTCTGCAAGTATAAGAAGTAAATGTAAGAAATGGAAAATAAATATTAAAACTTATGTAAAACTGATTAACTGAATACTAAGTTAATAACCCAATAGACTAGCGAGATGTATAAAAATGTATGGTACTTGTCAGATATAAGGTTACACTTCTCATTTAACAAAAGGGTGAAAATATCTATATGTTCATTTCCTAAATAATTATCGCTTAATAACTCATCAATGTCAGCTCTAGAAATAATAAGGTTATTAAAAAAAATGAAACATAAACATACGCCAAAAATTCACATAGAATATGAATATCATACGCATAACACACGCATACCATATGCATTTCATACACATGGCATACACATAATATACGCATAACATACGTATAATATATGCATACCTTACGCCTATAATATGCATAACATATGTAAAACTAAGAGAATTATGAGTTCATAACAGTTGCAATTTTTACTTTTGATTGAACTTCTTCAAGCATTCATATATAAAATTTCTCTTCTCAGAACTCATACTCAAAATACCTTTTATAATTTACTATTTTATTTGCATAATCAGGAATTATTTGAATGTCATATACTAGCAGTGGTTCATTTGGATTTGGGTATAAAATTAGTTGTATTTTGGCTGCGATTGTCTCATTTTTTGGATGAGATTGACTCATTTTGGGGGATTGGTTTATTAGGGGGAGGGATATCTGATTTCAATTTCTTATTGGAAGATGAAGAGTAACTAATAGATCATTTCTAAGGAAATAATTTGCTCTGATCAATGTAATTATTGAACTTGACCTCAATATCTTTTAATCTTTCAACTAGATCTTCAAATTTTCTGCTCAGCCTATTTTAAAATTTAAGAAAGAGTTTTGTGCATATTTTTTGACAGGATTTGATTATTCTTTCTTGGAGAGAATCCAGTGCTTCAGCGGAAAAACTAAAGTATAGTTTCTGAGGAGATTGGTGAGGGTCTTGCTGAGGAGGTGGGGTATGATGAGGAGATTGGGGGGTTTGATTGGTGGATATTTCATGAGGGAAATCAGGGGATGGAGGGCTGTCTGATGGATATGTCTTGATGTTAACTATATCAATTTCAACCTAGGAAACTCCCTTGAGGATATTAAAAATCTGACTTTTTTCTTAGATTAACAAATAAATTAGTGATCACATCTATAGTATAAATAATATCATCGGCCCATCGTTAAAAATGAAGTCTTTTGTTAGTATACATAGGAGCATAAAAAGAAATATATTCCAGGAATCAAATTTGCATAAGTTGAAAGAAAATTTTAATAAATGAATTATAAAAATAAAATAAAATTTTGAATGAATTTAACAGTTAGCACTTAGCACTCACAATTAGCAGAGGTACAAAATCGTTGATGTAACATGCTGGCTTCTTATTTAAAATCTTGGAGGAGGCCTTATTAAAATCTCAAATTAAAAATTTCCTAATCGACCCCACCCATTTTATTGACAAAAAATTATTTGCATTATTTGATATTCTTTGAAACAACCGAGGGGTTTTAAAGTTGTTAAGTTGAAAAAATAATTTTGAATATAAATACATGATGAACGTTCTTAACATAATCTTAGGGGGGGGTTTGCTTATTCAACTCCAACATGTTTGTCTTAATTTCCAATGATATAATTGATATATGTGCTAAGGAAAGTCAGAATATTTCTTCTCCTTTATTTGGCAGACCAGTAAGAATGGCCACTTCATCAATAGTGAAAGGAATATCTTTAAGAATTAAGCATTGCTTTGCAATATTCCACCTTGAGACCAGCTCATAAATAAGAGGGACATTTTGCTCAAACCGAAGAAATTATAAAAATTGTATGATCATTAAACATTTCAATGTGTTCACGACTTCAGGAGAAATTTGCTGAGCAAAATTATCACAGATTATTCGAAAAGTTAAAATATAGCATCGATAGGTAATGAGATAAATATATATCTAAAAAATAAAAAATAAAAAAATATAAAAAAGTAAATAAGTTACGCACAATATACGCATAGATTATACACAACATATGTAAATATCACGCACAACATACGCATATAGTACGCACAACATACGCACAAACACGCACAGTATACACACAATGTATGCATAGAGTACTCAGTGCTTATATACAGCGTACGTACATCCTACGTGTAAAATTAGCACAAGCTATTCTATTTTAAAAGTTTAGGGTTTAATTGTTAAAAACTTAAAATTTAGTTAGGATTTAGATTTCAAATTTCAACATAAAGTCATAAATCCTAAATATAGAGAAAATATAACGGCATCAAAGTATCAAACATTTAAAAAATTTCAAGAAGGAATGCATACATATAGCGTAAGCATAAAATACTAAGATATTCAAAACCATAAACTCCTACACATAGCATAAGCATAAAATACGCATAACTTGAACAGAAAATATACCAGCAAATCACCTTTCTCTTTGGAGGTGACGACATCTGAGAAGGAGCTAAGTGAATGCTTGAAATTTCTCCCAAGTGAATGCTTGAAATGTATGACGAAAATTGAAAATTGAAATGCCTCGTGAACTGTGAATTTTTTTTTCCATTTAACCTTTACCTGGGTTTAAATGTTAATGCACATCGACATCTCACTAGGCAATCCATGACTCCACATCGGTAAATGGGAGTCCGAACTGAACAAAAATATATTAGGTTATTTTTTTTAGAGGCAGTGCCTCAAAAATGTGAGGCGAGGCGTGCTTTATAGCGCGCCTCAGTAAACTTGAGGCGTAAGCCTCAAAACCTGAACTAATTGAGTGGGCTTTGAGGCTTAAAGGGACTATATTGCACTGAGGCGTGCCTTTTATTTTTTAATTTTAAACCATGACTTCATCCTCAAACTACAGATGAATATTAATGCTACATTTGTATAACTTAGAACCAAGTAAGAAGCAACATAACCCAAATCAAATCTTTGAACTATAGCTTCAGAATGCATCTTGAATGCCAGCTCTTCTTATGTCCAAACTATATAAGTTTGTCAATCAAACTTAAGCTTTTTAATTCCATATCAATTCCTTAATGTATTTGTAGAAAGTATGTCACTTCAAGTTTACAAAAAGATAAAAACTTTTGCACCTTGAACTAGATAAAATAGCTTGAAACATTTATAATGAACCCGTCGTATAAGAACCCATACTTCCCCAGCCAAATATAATCAAAAGAGTACTAAACCTCTCGTCGCCTCCAATGGGTTCGTACAATATTCTCTGCCCAACTCAAAAAATGCACCCCTCGCCGACGTTTCAGTCCTCTATTTCAAAAAAAAAAAAAAACTCCGTTAGTAAAAGAGCTAAAAGTTAGAAGAAAGATCGAAACTTGTGAGCAAACAAGATATATGGGAAAATGAATGAAACAGAACTAGCCGACCATCTAATTCTGCATACCAAACATTGCCACATCAAACAACAATTAGGGATTTTCAGTAGCTTCTTTTGAATTTCATTTGCACTCGGTATTGTGATATCCAGAGTTAACTCCAAGTAGAGCTTTTTTGAAGCTTCAAACAGACAATCCTGATGGGAGACTGGTAGGAGCTTGCCCAGGCCGTGATCGTTGGGCTTATATTCTCTTATCTCGTCGCCAAGCTTATATCAACGGTTATCTGCTTCCAGCAAGGTCATCTCAAGGTTGTCATCGAAAAGGAACCGGTTGGCGAAACATCGGAAGCGGACCAAGCATTAGAGGAAGTTAATAAGAAACACGCTGAGGTCCAAAACTCCTTGGCCTCCGATAGTGACAGTTTTAGGGTCAGAGGTGATGATTTTGAGGATTTTGTGATGGAACATAGTCTTTTAGGGGAGGATGATGACGATTGGGAAGGAATCGAGAGTACAGAACCTATGGGAAAAATGGAGCATGCGAATGGAGGAGTATGGAATGACAAGAGAGCAGAGCGTGTGGGAAGAAAGGACACGCAGGGTGCAGAATCAGTATTTTGTGTCAGAGGTTTTGTAACCCGCTCAATTTGAGCGGGTTTTGAAGTATCCCGAATGGCGCTTCGAGGGATTACTTACGGTCTGCTCAAAACAAATCAAATCACCTAATTTATGAAATGCGTTATTCTGCATACCAAATAGCTCCTAAATATCTTTAGGATGCCGAATAAAATGAGTAATGAAATTTACGAGTTATTGAAATTAATGATGTTTGACTCCAACAACAACAATAAAAACATTATCAAGCATTAATCTCGCTATGTGGGATCGTCTATATGAATCTTTTTTCTCCATTGAGTCCTATTAAGAGTCAAATTCTTATTTAAATTTGATGTTTTAGCTATATAAAAGGTTATTTCAAGTCTTAAGCATCTCTTATATCCTTAGATAACTCATTTCCTTGAAGGTGCCTTATCTTTTGTCAATGTTATTATTGTCATATTGATAACTAATTTGACTCACCAATACCAATTACTCACTCGTTATAATATGGATTTTATCGCATTAGGGGGAAGTCAAATTCTAGGGTTAGACTTTTATTCCAAAGGCGATATTTTAGAGAAGACACTATGCTTGAAATTTGTCAAGAATATAAGCTTGATAATTTGAGTTAAATGATTGTACATGGAGTTCTAAAAAAATATTTTTGAAATGAGTTTAAGAATGCAAATTAGGATTTTTTTGTTTTTAGGTTCATTAGGCATTCTTCTCTTAATTTTATGACTTGATGGAGGAAAATAGAAGATGAATTTGTTATTTACAGACTTCCCATGTATTTTAGGGCTTTGGGATTCTCATGTAGGGAGTAGTTTCATAGCTTTCATATTTCACGATGAACTGAGATTTCTCTAATCTCAAAAATAAATTAATTTACCTTCCTTTTCAGTTAATCGAGTATTCAAGAAAAGTTTCTCTAATGAATCTAAACTTTCATATAAGTTGGTCATAATCAAATAAAGATATTTTATTTAGATATCATTTTATAACACTATTCCACTTAGAATAGCATTAAGAATTTTACATTGATTAAATACACCAAGAGTAGTGAGTTTTGTAAGTGAAATTAAATTGTCCCTTGATTTGTAGATTTTATAATGCTCCAAATTAATGTAGATGATGACTAGTGATTCTTATGATAGTAGCAGATGAGTGACTGAAGTGAGATAAGGTGTGGTGCCCTAGGATCTAATGGAAAGATTGGTCTTACTTAAATATATAATTAATGAACTCATCCAGCAATTTCAAACAACTAGTGTTACTAATATCTAAAATATATAAGCATTCTAATCAACTTTCATTTCAATAAAACATAATTACCTTAATCAAGAGCAGGAATGTCTATACATTAAAATAAATCAACTAGATTATAAAAATCAATACCTTAAACTCAAAGCTCAGAGAATTCTTGTCTAAACATGATCTACACCACTAGACCCTTTTTTTTACTGAACTATTAAAAGAAACATAGTGAGCTCAACTAGTTAAGTAGACATCCTTCCTTATCCATTATAGATATCAATATCCAATTCAAATGTTTAAAACAATTTATTGAAGAAAGAATAAAGACCTGAGAAATAATTAAAGAAAGAGCAAAACATGAACTTACCAGAATTTTAGTATGTACCTGATTACGTAGCTATCACTTTTACACATATAATCATTTTCACAGAAGTTCCCCAATTTAGTATAGAACACTTTTTCTCAGAGATTCATTCGCATTTCACTTTCAGTTTCACTTTTCCATCAGAAATGAAATAGAAGTTCAGAGTTTGATAGTGCATAATTTAAAACAGTTCTTAAACATAAGCCATTATAACATTAACATATGAAATGCAATGATTATAATGCACATGTCCTGATGCCTTCTTATATCTCCAATTATACTTATTTCTTTCTTTACCTCCCACACCTGTATATAAAAATTAAGGCCAAAATCCCTCAAATACTTGCATCGAGCATATGAGGCCAAAATAGTACTTATAATGTTACTGAACCCCCACACCTGCATATAATAAGTGGGACAAGAATCTCTCCCATATTTATTTCTGGCAGATAGGAAAATGAGAGTATATTTAGGGCCTTTGTAACAAAATATATGTTAAAACATAGTTTTCATAACTATAATTTCATATCTTGTATGCTTTTGATGATTCCAAAATATTGTTATATTGACTACTATTTCTCCTAACATATATTAGAAATATTATTTTTATTATTTGTGTGTACTAACATTATACTCCAGACATTTGAATACTTCAAGTCAGATTAGATTATGGTTTACTATTTTTGAAGTCTGTACTTTTATACTTTTTTTTTTAGTCTAAGAGAGTGTGATTGTAATTAGGTAACCATAAACACACATACTGGGGGAGTGTAAAAATTTATAAATTTTCAAAACTAATCATACTGTACTATCTTGTATTATACATGATGTTTGGCTTGAGTGTACCTCCAGAAAGTAGTTAACCAAACTATGCTAGGAAAATATTTAAGTCCTATTAGTACTGTACAAAGTTAGTTTCATATGTACGCCTTCCAGAGTACAAAAAATACGCATAAATTTGCCCTAATGAACTTCTAATTTTTTATGAACTGTTTGTACTGTACGATCATAGGTTCGTATAGACAACATCCAGAGTATAAAATAGTTACGTATCTTTTTGTCCAGATGAACAGATAAACAAAATAACTAATGTTTCTTTCCACTTGGAATTCATCATTCCCGAGTGAAAAAATAGATTTAGAGCATTCCAAAGATCTTCCTTGATGATGTCCCAATATCTTTTATGAAAGGAGTAAGTAATCCCATCATGCCTAGGTGCAATATAGTTGCCAGATTGTTTGATAACTACTTCCACCTCTTCAATTGAAAATTCTTTATTTAAACACAAGGTATCCTCTTCATCCAGATGGTTGCATGGTTCATTCCATCCTTCCAAATAACACTTCCTATATTTCCACTTATTTTGAAAAAATCGAATCAAGTACTTTCTATTTATAGCAATGCACTGTAGTATATATTATTATTTTAAAGAATGAGAAGAAAGAAAATTATTGATGAGTTTTCTATATATTTAGATATTTGTAGAAGCTATGTGGTTATGCATCTCATTGTGTATTGGTAGAAAAATCTGAAAACAAATTCTAGAACTAGATCCTGGGGTTATCCGTTGCGACTCAACGCGATGAGATCTATCCCAGTTGTGTTGGATCATGACATCTACCTTCATTTATCATGTGTCCCTCTATCAGGACAACACGAATAGTTATCTATACAATTCTCATAGCCATACCATGTGACTGGTCATCGCCAATAATAGCTGGTTTTCCTACCTCACCTCACATTCTCTTCAGTAGAGAACCCATGATCAAATCGACTGAGTCAATAGACACTTGCCCCTCCTCTGTAACAACAACCTTACTTAGTGTAACCTCCTCCTTATTCACAGCCCCCATGCTAAAGGGTACTTGTGCCTTCTTATTAGTAGCTTCTAGGAAGCTTGAATACTAATACGAATGAAAGGGTCTATCTCACCAAAGGGTTTATAGCAATAAATTTACATTTACTCATGCTCTTCATTTTGATTTTCATTTATCTGACCTTTTTGACACCTTATATTCAAAGGATTGCATAAATTATGAAACTAAATATACACTTGTGAAAACTTGTGCATGTATCAGTCTACAGGTGTCTTGTAGGTCATTTTTCAGTTTAGCAATAAAAGGATATGTTCATCTCTAGAGCAGTTGATTCGAGGGAATCTCTTAAGAGTGAGAAAATAGCTTAATAATGGAGCACAGCGGACCAGTACTGGCTACCTCTTCCAGGTAGTCGCCTCTAGGTGAGAGAAACCTTAGAAGTTTCTTTTTAGACAAACAACCCTCGATTCATTTCATCCATAACAAAGATTCCCAAATGTGATATATCCAATAACTAGCATTATACACCACCCTTATGGACATCTCTCACTGTGATGCCCTAGAATCTAATTTGAAAGAATTTTTCTTTTAATCTATTAATAAACAATATTTAGAGCTATATAATATCATCTATTTATAATAAATAAGAAAATAGATTCTATAATTTTAAGCATTAATGTATATATCTATAATCAATCCCAAAAATCATATATAATATGCATGATCTATATAATCATCACATATCTACTCTGTCATGAATACAAAAGAATAATTATAACAAAAACAATTAGAACTTAAAGAATCCTAACTAACCTCACACCCCTGCTCCCCTGCCTTGGCCTAAAATAATTTAATCACATATAATGAACCTAAAAAGTTTAGCATGTTACCAAAACCTACAACTAAATTCAAAGCATGGTAAAGGAACGATATGTATGTCAACAGTTAAATCCTAATAGTTGTATTCATATGATCATTGAATCAATATAGAAATAATAATTCATATGCAGTAATAATATAATATATAAATAGTAGGATGTTACAGTACTAAAGCTATTAAAGTAGTAAAATAAAATGAGTGTCAAATCTATAAAAAATCGTCATATTCCTAATATCAATCACTACATAAATTGTATAAAGCATCAAATCAAAATGTCGGTAAAAATTGTTGAAATTGAATCAATATAGTAAAATCATATTGGAATATACACATGCTATCTAGTTATTCTATATCACATTCTTAGCATTTTACATGCTTGGTATAAGTACATTGAATAAATATTCTTAAAAAGTATCGATATTGAGATTAGTAATAATAATAATTGAATGACAAAAGTAGTTAAATAATGCAATAATAGTAAATTAATATAGTAATAATAAATCCATACAATAATAAAAAAATACCTCAATAATATGCATTTCAGTATTCACATTAAATAAGTAAGAAGTCCTAAGTATCATGGTATTTTTTAATATTAGTATAAGTATTAATAAACCATTAGCTTAGTAAATAGAGACCTCACTCTATTATATATATATATTATTTATAAATTATCTAAGAATCAGGGATTATATAAAATGATATTTTAAGGCTTTTATTATACTACACCACTATTTTAATGGTTAAAGTAAATTTCAAGGTAGACAAAAATCACTATATTTTTAAAATTATCTAGTAAAAAAATTCAAATAAATATTCAAAATATGCATAATCTTGATATCCATAACATACAAAAAGTTACACGATAAAAGTTTTATAAATATAAAGTTATTCATAATTTTTAGTAATAAAAATAAAAATTGATCAGAAATATGCCAAAAACATATAATGTTTGAAATTAAAAATAGGGTAAAGATTCCTTACAGCGAGATGAAAATTTTTCCTGAAATGCTCGACGGATAACAATCGCATTGTGGCCTCCAAATTTAGGATTTTTCTTTCTCTCTCTTATCTTTTATTCTCTAAAAATCCTAAACCATCTATCTAAAGAAGAAAAAGGAATTCAATTAATGCTTTAATATATTTTCAAACAAATAATAATATAATTTAATAAATTTTCATTTTAAAACTCATGTAAATTATTTTGGGCTTTAAAAATTATAGAAAAATATTCATAAAATAAATCATTTTATTTAAAAATATTGATAAAATTAGTTTTCAAATCGAATATATGATGGTATCAAAATCCTCACTTGTAATAACATGTACCAAATTTTAAAGAATTTTTATAGTACCAAAAAATTATTAAAAAAAAATTATGTAGGTAAAATACTACGATCAAAATACTATGGCAAAGACGGGTTACAATTTAGAGTTATAATGACTCTAAGAAAATTAGCAAAGTCAAAATACGGGCTATTATAATCTACCTACCTTAATGTCATCCCCAAAATTTTTCTTAAGGATTTGAGCATAAAATCAAGATAAACCAAATCCGCACAATCAAAATTAAAATTAAATCAAATAAAAAATCATAAAAAAATATAGCCATGTAGTTCATTCTATCACATGCCATTCAAACTAATACATCTTAATCTATCCACTCTACCAACTCTCAATCAAATCATGCAGCTCTGATTATAATCAATTCTTCTAATAACTTGCTCTGATACCAATTACGATGCCCAAAATCTAATTTGGAAGAATTTTTCTTTTAATTTTTTAATAAATAATAACTAGAGCTATCTAATATTATCTATCAGTAATAAACAACAATGCAAATTCTATAATTCAAAATATTAATATATACATATATTCAATCCCAAAAATTATATATAATCATCATATATCTATTATGTCATGAGTATAAAAGAATAACTATTAAAAAAATCTTAAGAATCTTTACAAGCCTCATACTCCTGCTCCCCTGCCCTAACATGAAATCATTTAACCATATATAATGAGCTTAAAAAGTCCAGCATGTTACTAAAACCTATAAATGAATTCAAAGTATGATAAATGAGTAATATACTTATCAACAATTAAATCCTAATAGTTATACTCATATAATCATTAAATCAGTATAAATAAAATAAAATTTAGATGTAGTAGCAATATAATATATAAATAGTAAAATATTATAGTACTAAAGCTAGTAAAGTAGTAAAACAATATAAGTGTCAAATTTATAAACAATCATCATATCCGTAATTCTAATTATTACATAAATCATATAAAAGCATCAAATCGCGATATATATTATTAAAATTGAATCAATACAGTAAAATCATATCAAAAGTACACATATTATCCAGTTATTATATGTCACCTACTCAGTATATCACATACTTAATATAAGTACATTAAATCAATATTATTAAATAGTATCGATATCCAAATCAATAATAATAACAATCGAGTGGTAAAAATAGTAGAATAATGTAATAATAGTAAATTTGTGTAATAATAATAAATTTATATAATAATAAAAAATATCTCAAAAAATATATATTTAAGTAGTCACACTAAATAAGTAAGAAGTTCTGGATATCATGGTGTATTTTAGTTTTAGTATTAGTGTTAATAAACTGTTAGCTTAGTAAATAGAGTCATCATTCTTTGACCGTCGACATAGTAATAATCTCCTTATAACTTCCAACCAATGCATCGTGTGAATTAGTAGAGGATAACACTAAACCACTTTAATTAAAGTAAAGCTCGTCAGCCCACTATCCTATACAAGCTATTTAGTCTCCAACCAACAGATCAATCAGTCTTTATCTATTTTTTCACACACACATACACATTATTATCATAATACTATAACAATAATATTGATCAGCTATTACTCAAGCACATATCCACATTCATTTTTAATGCATTGTAGTAAATAATATATAATTGAGCTTAATTAAGAATATGTAAAAATATCATAATGGTAAACAACAAAGAATCTTATATGCAAAAATAGACATTTTTAGAAAATTACCAAATAACCAAAGATTATGTAAAATGATGTTTTAAGATTTTTATTATATTACATCACTATTTTTAATGGTCAAAATAATTTTTTGGGTAAACAAAAATAACTATATTTTCAAAATCACGTAGTAAAAAATCTCAAATAAATACTCAAAATGTGCACAATCACGATCTCCATAACATATAAAAAGTTAGACGATGAAAATTTTGCAAATACAAAGTTATTCACATTTTTCTGTAACAGAAACAAAAATTATATCAGAAAAATGTCAAAAATACAAAATTTTTTAAATTAGAAATATGATAAAGTTTCCTTATAATGAGACGAGAATTTTTTTCAACAGGCTCAATAGATAAAAATTACACCACAACCTTCAAATTTAATTTTTTCCTTTCTATCTCTTATCTATTTTTTTCTCAAAATCCCGAGCTGTCACTCTATTATGTCGTTTGAAGAAGAAAATGGAATTCTGGTAATGCTTTAAGATATTTTCAAAGAAATAATAATATAATATTAATACAATAATATAATTTAATCAATTTTCATTTTAAAATTTATATAAATCATTTTGGGCTTTAAAATTTATAGAAAAATATGCATAAAATAAATCATTTTATTTGAAAATATCAATAAAATCTGTTTGCAAATCGGACACCTAACGGTCCCCAAATCCTCAATTGTACTAACATGTATTAATTTCTTATGAATTTTCAACAGTGACAAAAAATATAAAAAAAGTTTTATAAGTAAAATACTACAATCAAAATACTATGACAAAGACGGATAACGAATTGGAGTTATAATGACTTCAGAAAAAAATTAACAAAATCAAAATATGGACAATTACACTCACAACCAAATCAATCTAAAAGAACGGCCTCACCAAGACATCACTCACCATTCTCATCTCACAAAAAGGTAACTACATAATGGTCTGAATAGTCTAAGTCTTTCTAATTAGACTCTAATGATACTTGTCCAACTCACTCACCATTCCAATCTCAATGGGGCTCTTGAACCAACTCTTACAACTAATGACAATGAGTGTTCACAAGCCCATTTGACTTGCCCTTCTCAGTTGTTGACAATCGACATACAACATAGACTAACAATACAATTATCATGTCAAAGATGTACCATATGTAACTTTCAAGGCTCCATAAAAGGGGAGGACGAAGGAGAAAGGGAGAATTTTCAACATTCTCGAATAGAGCATCATTACAAGAGAGAAACCATAAGAAAGAATCGCTAGAGGAAAAAATGAGATATGTTATTTCTTTCTCTGTAATCTAAAGCTTTTGCTAGTCACATACTTGTATCTCTGGCCTAAATAATAAAGATTTCGTTTTGATTCATACAATCTCTTATCTTCTCTCTCTATTTCTTCGTATTCGTACTTCACTATGTTCTTCTCTCATGCTCTCCGCCTATTGGTTACGTATATTATTGTCTGACATCATCTACCAGAAAATAAAATTCAACAATGACAATATTAATCAATAATTATTACATTATTACAAAAGTTCTCAATTGAATTAGACTAAGTAATGCACCAAAAGTTACAGCATATTAATTGAAATAAATTAAAAAATTATAGTGGACTGGATTAGGATATCTCCCGGCCCAGAAAAAAAAAAAAATTAAACCCTGGTCGTGACGCGGTTTCTTTTGTGTAGCCCGCTGTTCAAAAAAACTGGCCGCCGATGCTATAGCCTGAAGTAATAGCACGTTGAGCCGCAGGCACAGCTTATTCGCGGGTCCAGAGGCTTCCCGAGAAAAGAGGATTCCTTAAGGGATAAAACCGTAATTACGTGGAACTACAGGGGTAACCAATTTACTGCCTCGTATCGGTCATTCATTTAAGCTATAAATATTGCCTGCCGTCTGTAGCCATATTGATCCGCGAATTGAAGTATTGTTTCTGCATTTTCGTTCTTGCTCTCTATCATCGTCAGTTTGGTAATGGAGGCGTTCTTCGAGGGGAAGACAGGCAGTTGGGGCTATGATTCGCTCAAGAATTTCCGGCAGATCTCTACGTCTGTACAGAAGCACCTCAGGCTGGTGAGTACTTCTCCGGTTTGTTGCTTTCTCGGCTATCTATTAGGCGTTTTCTCGGTCTTTTTAGGGCTTGCGAATCGGTACTTGGCTTTCTCTACCTTCACGATTGTGATTATTTAGGAAGAATTCTTGATGATGTTTACGGCGTTGACCCCTTTTAGTCGTTCAATTAGATGCTCTGGTTGAATTTTGGGGCTCTTTTTTTTTTTATTTGTTCATCGGTATTCCAGGGTTAACTTGCTGTATCTCTTGTTGCATGATGTTTTGTCCCTCACGTGTTGGTTTTGGAGGGGTTATCTTGTTTTATATTGGTACTGAATGATTTTCCCCTTTTCTGTCTGGCAGTCTACCCTTATTAATTTCTTAACTTTATTCATCTAGTCTTCGGAGATTTTTTTTGAATTACTGTTTAAAAGTTTGTCTCAAGACGTGCTAATGCTTTTGATGACTGTTTTTTGTTAACATTAGGCTGGTTATTTTGAGTTCTTTTATGCCAGGGTATTTGCTTATGATGTAATTAATCTATGGATCTATTTTGCAGGTTTACTTGACACTATGCTCTGCTCTTGTGGCGTCTGCGGCTGGTGTTTATTTACACATCTTGTTCAACATTGGTGGTATCTTAACCATGCTTGGATGTTTTGCTGGCATAACATTTGTTATGAACACGCCTCCATCTGAAAATGTATTGTTTTCATCTTCTTGTAACTTTTGGGATCTTTTTTCTATTGTTAGTTGATTTATCTTACTTTTCATTTATGTTGATATTTGTTTCATTTTATTTGAGCAGAGGAAGAGGCTTGGTTATTTGATGGCAACAGCCGTATTGGAGGGGGCATCTATTGGTCCACTTTTTGAGCTTATTCTTGACTTTGATCCAAGGTAATGCCATATGTCTAATGAAATTGTGGCCCTTATTGATAATTTAATGTTTTTGGTAAACATATATCGTATACACTTCTTTGTGCAAACTTCATGAAAAATCATATTAATTTGTTTTTTTATTGTAAATTTGTGAGTTAGAAAAATATTTTCCCCAATTATAAGAACCAAAATATTAAGAATTTTAGAAGCTTTTTGACTTCCGTGTAGAATTTCAGAAGCTTTTTGACTTCCAAGTTTCAATAGTTTATGTAGCAAAATGTTTTTTTAAATGATTAAAGAGTCTTAGGTACAAGATTGTAAGGTTTAGTGGTCAAGCTGATGGATTTTTAATCCTTCCCTTCTCTATTTGCTGGATGTCTCTCTAAATGGCTATAATCTGTAGTCTAGATATTGAAATTTAATATTCTGGACATATTTTAATTATGACATCCTAAAGTGAAATTTGGTTTCATAGGCTTTTAGTGAGTCAATGAAAATTTGTTTTAATGCATTCCAAGTGCTAGAGATGGAGGAAAAAGAAGTTATCCATTCAATGTCTTCATTTTTTTTCCCTTTTTTTATTATTATTAAATTTTTTTACTATTTATCCATTCAATGTCTTCATGAGTTCGTTGAGACTTAGGGGCTATTTGGTTTCCTGAAAAGAAAATGCACTGTAAAGTAAATACAATGTAAAGTAAATGTAATGCATTTTGAATACTTTGAGACTGTTTGGTTATCTGCAAAATAAAAGTAGGAGAATTGTTTCCCTTGTTTGGTTAGGTAGATCCAGAGTAAAGTAAAAGTGATTTTTTTGTAATAATTTATTTTGGCAGTACAACTAGTGTATTTATAAAATTAATGTCTTTATAATAACTTTTACTCCATGTATATGTATTTCAACACAAACGCTATTAGTTCTACCATCTACTTATCTAGTTTACCACAATTTGCACTCGTGCATATGCTCAATGCAACAAATTTAGTTGAACAGTATTGTCTGTAAAAATAATCGTTAAACATTCCTAAAATATTATATTTTATAAAAACTGTTACAAATATTACAAACTATATTTCTAAAAAAAAAAATGAAACAAAAATTTTTAGTTGTCAAACTATCATAGAGCTTGTTGTTAAAATAAGCTTATCCAATAAATTCCTAAAAATCAAATAAGAAAAATATAATATTTTAGGACTTGTCTGTGCTGGGCAGCCAGGCGTCTTTATATCCTCTTCCACAGGGATGAGGCCGTTGGTACGCTGGACGGAGTCTTCAACAACGGCGAGCTTCTCCGGAAGCCTAGAAGGCAACAATCGATCACTGTTAACGAGACAACCATCCCAAGAAGCCCTGGGCCCGTACACCGAGCATCTGTGGTCGTCGAAGGAGATGCGACCAGCGTCAAGAGAGAACCTTGGAGCGATATCGCAAGAGCGGCGACCAAAAGCATCGACGGCGATCTCCGACTGGGTGTCTCTGAATCGGTGGGAAGATATGCGAATTTTCTAGCCCTCCATTTGTAAAACTGAGGGCTTGCCTATGCCATTTTCATCGGCAGCGCATTTGTTCGGCTTAAGTTTCCTCCGCCATTTCTGGAGCTTTTTACTGAAGATTGAAGCTGCAAGCCAGAAGCTTCTATCAATCTCTTTGATGTCCCGGGAAGGGATTTTCTTGGTTTGGGAGTAAGAGTCTAGATCTATGTGGTCCTTCATTGGCCTAGCATCTTCCATTTCGCATTTTGAAGTCTCCAGTATGAGGATCGAGTCTGCATCAACCTTAATCTCGCCGGCCACCAAGACGTTGGCTGCAACGGTGGATGAAGAAATGAGGAATTTTTGCCACCTTGGACGATCCTATCTCGGTCTTTCTGGTGAAACAAGGACGAGAGAGTGCTCCGGACGCGGACATCACGTGACTTGCGTTGCTGACACCGGCCAGGTAGGGGTCTCGACGAATCCACGTCGAGGATTCGGTGACGGGACCAAGAACTCCTTGGGGGAGGGATCACCACCTGAAATCCTTCAGGATACAGAAACCCAAAAGCAGTGTAAAAACTACTCAAATATTATTCATCTCAAATCTATCTCCATTACATGACATTGACTACCTATTTATAGCCCAAAAGAAGGAACATACTAGGCTACACAAAACAAATGAAAGCACTAAATCTATGTAGCTATATAAGCTACCAAATGGATTGAATTATCCTGAAGTTAACACAACTAATGGCTCAGCTCCGGCGTCATACTACCGGGGTAGGAGGAACTTCAGGATCATAAAAAGATGTCTGTTGTCCACAAGAAGGAGGCGGGTGTGGTTGGCTAAACTAGCCTGGATACTTCCACTCAGTGTCATTCACCCCGTCTAAAAGAGACTTCAACATAGCTGGAGTTGATGAAAGTTTTTTATGAACTTAAGGGTTTGGTTCTTTTTCCTTTCTTTCTCATCCTTATCATTAGAATTCTCCTTCTTAGTTAGCTCCTTCAGTTGGTAATTTTCAAGGTTTGAATCAAACCCGACACCAAACTGATCAACCATGACAATATCAGTATCCAAAGCGAGCGCCTCCATGCACTTTGTATCAGAATGTACAAAGGTATCAAGGTGTTTTCCATGATCTGCTTGAATCATACCGAGTCTAATATCAATGATGGAAAGCATGCTCATTGTCCTATCAGGAATGATAGGCACGACTAGCTTCGGTTGGGAATCCATCTTGCTCTCATCATCATCATCATATGCAGGTTGCTCTAGATCAAGAACTTCATTGAACATGTTGTCATCGTACACGTCGTACACCGGCTCATCGTAGAGAGGCAAGAACGACGAATTCGGCAATGGATCTTCAAATTCTTCAAAGCCGAACTCGACTGAGGGTGAGGTGGAAGATATCTGATCATCTGAAATGTCCTCGTCGTCGTCGTCGGTTCGTAAAGATCTTCGTTCAATCTTTGACAATCTTAATTTAAGTCGAGCAATTTCTTGTAGAAGATCTTCGATTTCTTCTTCTTGACATGATGGCTGTCGAGTCCGACGAGGCCACATCTTGCTCTGTAGTGCAAATCCACAAGGTTCTGGGAAAAGTGAACACGCAAAAACAAATCCTAATTTTCAAAAATGATGCTGCCAGTCACCGTTTAACAGGCTGAAAAGCTTTTGTCTCTGGCGGTCCCGTTTGGATCCCAGACGCACTCCACCAAGAACTACTGCTCACAGACGATCCTCTCTAAGCAACTGGAAATCCACCGGTCACTTCAAGAAACAATTCTTGAAGTATGCCTTGGAGAAGATTGGCTATCACTGGGATCTATTGGCAGTCATAAATCTAAGATCGAAGGCAACAATTCTTGCAGACACAACGGATTTAGTTTAAGGAAGAAGAAGGACACAACTTTTCTTATGGGAGATATCAAGAAATACTCAGACATAAAGGGGGTGGAGGAGAAACGGGTGGTTGAAGACTTTTAGTAGTTGCGGAGAAAGATCTGGAGGAGGAGGGCTTATGCTAACATGGGGAAAGTTTGGCTGAAGGTTGTGAAATCTATGGTTGCTACTCAAGGTAAGAAGCTGAAGGTAGCTGTAAAGGGAATCAAGCTCAAGTCTGCAACTCTCTGCTTTAGTTAAAAGAATGAATATAAAGAAGCCCCTTGCAACAACAAGATCTGTGAAGAAAGGTTCCCAAAAGCGAAGTCGGTGAAGAAGACAACACCCTTCTTGGTTACCGGACCACGCTTCTTGACTACGGTTCAGCCTTTTGGGGTGACTATCCGCTTGGAACAAACTACACAGATGTGTTCTTCAAGGAGGAGGAGAAACTCTGACCGCTGACTGCTTGAATGCAAGTGGAGATCGTTGTTTGGGGCGGGAGGGGGATGGGCTGCGAGCAAATGACGTGATGACGGACAAGAATGCCAGCAATTTGCCGGCTCTGATACCAAATGACACCGGCCAGGTAGGGGTCTCGACGAATCCACGTCGAGGATCCGGTGACGGGACCAAGAACTCCTTGGGGGAGGGATCACCACCTGAAATACTTCAGGATACAGAAACCCAAAAGAAGTGTAAAAATTACTCAAATATTATTCATCTCAAATCTATCTCCATTACATGACATTGGCTACCTATTTATAGCCCAAAAGAAGGAACATACTAGGCTACACAAAACAAATGAAAGCACTAAATCTATGTAGCCATATAAGCTACCAAATGGATTGAATTATCCTGAAGTTAACACAACTAATGGCTCAGCTCCGGCGTCAGTTGCGGCTCGGCCACCGCGGCGGCCAGCGAGGAGACTCCGGCATCACGATGAGGATGCCAGCGAAGATTAGGATTGGAGGAATGGCTAATGGCGAGGGAAGCGCTAAATGCCGGCAGCGTCCTCGGCGCCCAGAGCATTTGTAACCCGCTCAATCTGAGCGGGTTTTGAAGTTGCAAGAAAGGCCTTTAGTAACACACCGCTAATGCATCGGAGGAATCTCTTATTTTTCACTCAAAATCAACCAAACGAAGTAATTTAGGAAATGCTGGTAAATGCATTACTTTACTCTAATAATTCTGCATACCAAACAGCCCCTTAAAGAGATAGAGAGAAATGATGAGGAGGTTAGGTAGCCCAATCTCAAAATTTTAAAATTGTGCTTGATGTTTTAATTTTATTGTACCAAATGACTTCGATCGATTTAAAATGCATAGGCGCATTTCTAATCCTAACTAATTTCTAAAATTCGGGTGACAATCTTTTTAAATTTAAAATTATAAGTTACATTTAATAGATTGTATATAACTATTATCTTAAGTATGAAGAATTTCTTTTGAAAAGGTTAAAAATCTAAGAATAAATATGGAAATGATGAAAACATAGCATTTAAATAAGATTCAACCCTAAATGGTTGAGTCAACGCATTAGAACCAATTTAGAGTCTAATTTAATATCCCTTTGACCACTTTGGGGTATAATTTGCTAACCCTTTGATTATTAGGACTCATTGCCACCAACTTGCATTGTTCCTACCAT